AACTGAAAAGAAAATCTACAGGTAATGTACGGTTTAATTTATCTTCATCATTGCCATCAAAAGCTATTAATCGAACAACAATGATTCCAAAAAAACCAACATTAGCAAAAGATTTTTTACATAATTTTCCACTTCTTCGATCACTTGTTGAAGAAGCTTTAGCTTTACAACAACATCAATATGATATATCGACATCAGTTAGGCATGTAATGTTTGATGATCGACCACATTCAGCTGTACAACAGAAACAAAATAGTTCAAAACAAATTCCAGTACGACCTAAATCAGCAATGAATGTTCGTACAATACGAACTAAATCTGTTATTGTAACAAGAAATATAATTAATACACGTCGTCTTTATCCACCATCATCAAAAACAAATAAAATGATCGTAACAAAAAATGATGTACGTGATTTAGTTGATCGTCTTTCTAAGCCAAAATTTAACAAACGTGTTGAACGAGAAATCGCATCGATTGATCATGATCTACCAACTCAAGAACTCGTTATAAAAACTCCACGTATCTCTTCGAAACAAACTAACACTACTAGGGTATTTCATCTGTTTTTCTTCTCATTTCTACATCAAACAGTCGTTATTTTTCTTTTCGATAGTCTACCAATATCACACGAAAACCACCACCTTCTTATGGTACAACCCGGGCTCATCGATTAATGGCTGAATTATCTCGAGCTCGTCGTGCTGGTATTCAGCCTCAAAAAGCTAGTTCACCTAAATCTCAAACATCTCCAAAGATAGAATCCGCATCCAATAGTCGTACTCCTTCATCGTCACCACAAATATTGAATACTGGCACGGTTTCACGCTTATCTCTTCTAAATAAAGTTGATGTTGATACTCCTACTATACAAAAAACTAATATTCAACGAACATCTTTGGAAGTCACGCCAGAAAATACGGGTCCTATTCAAAAATCACCATTAACAACAAGTCAAGATGTTACTTTAAAATTAAATCAAACAATAACAAAGATAACATTTTCAACTCCGGAATCAACAACCATGCCTCAACATAATCAAGAAAATGATCAAAGAAATGATGACTTAACGTTTTCAATTACTGATATAACTGATTAGTAAGTTTTTGTTTGTAGCTTGTACATTAATTAATCCTGTTTTTCTGTATTGTAGTTTTACCGATGGTGGAGAATCAAGTACTCGTCCATCAAGTTGACAATCAACATGAGCATTTATTTTCCTATAGAAATAAAAACTGAAAATCAGCGTCAGATTTTTTAACGTAATACAATTAATCCGTCCATTTTAACAAATATTTAACATTTTAATTTATTTTTAATTTCATTAGTTTATTTTTAATATATACTTTTATTATAGTGTTTAGAATAGTTTTGTTCTAAATATTTTCTAACATTTATTTATAGACGGCGTTTACATAAATATTTTTCTCAAAATAAATATGATGTTGCTTTTTTTGACGGTGATTAAAAAAAACTAATTGAAATTTCATTTGTCTTTACGATTATAATCATATAACCTTGCTGCTTGACTCATTGGCAAAAACAAGTTGCTTCCAGAAGCAATTTTTTTAATGAAATCAAACGAGACAGAGTGGTGTGGATGATTGTTTAGCAGCTTGATGGATCTCTGATACGAATATTCATTAGGTTGTAAAAATTATTTCATTTAGAACAAGCCAGTTTTGATTCAGATTTCGTTTTCCGAAAGAGCGATTGAAAACTTTCGAAAGGTAAACACCTACTTTTGAGAATAAAGACATATTGTATGTGATATAATAATCACAAACTGTCAAAAAGTCAATCTGATCTTCAGCGGGCACTGACCTATCAATCTCCGCGCTGAATAAAACACTGAAAGAAAGTTAAGTTCATGGTCTTCAGTTTAATATTCAAATGTTTCACAATCATAACAGTACAAAAAACAAAGTATAGGTCCGATTTCTTTTCTCAAAAAAGAAGCCTTTTATTTCAATCTCATTCAAACTTGATTCTACAAATAAAACATGGAAATATGAAGAGAAAACATCAGAAATTATTACTAAATTTGTTCGCATGAATCAGCAATCGGTTGAGATTCTTAAAGCATATTGATTAATTAGGTTTTTGTTATTCACTGCGCTCGAACCATGTTGGTCTTGAGTTTTATAAGATATCTGCAATAAATTAGTAACTTTCGATAGAACCGTTCTGAAAACAATCAGATACCGTGGCATACAGTTTCGACAGCGGAGAAATGTCAGAGACATTCAGAATCCGATAGATTATGTTGGATTTACATCTAGATGCCAGAGACCATCTGAATTCTCTTCCTTGTCATTTACTACTACCTTCTTCTCTGCACCATAATTCGTTCACAATTAAGAAGTTCGAAAATACTTGATTTTTTTTCATTAGTACAACTCAGTAATGAACATTATGTTTAAGCGCACAAACTTTTTCCAACAATTTTCTAACATGAACTCCTATTTATAAAGGATCGAATTTCGTTTTTATATTTTAGTTAGTTTATTATGATTATATTTGAAATACAAAGTAAACCTACAAAAAAAAGAATTGCAGTTGAATTTCACTTGTTTATAAATTGATTTAAACTGAGTTGTTTCATTTTGTTGTTATTGATGATTTTCTTTTCGACCATTGTTTTCTTTATTATCATCATCTTTATCGTTTTCAAATTCCAATTATTAGCACTGTCACAATTATAAAAAATTTGAATACTCATCATCATAAAGATGTACACGATATTGTTCAATTATATTTAATGTATTCACGAAATGTATATTTACTGCTGATATATATGAAGTTTATAATTAATTGCTCTCTCCTCCTCGTACCATTTATAGCTGTCTCTTGTTCCTTCGATGAATATATATTTCCGTTATGCATAAATAAGCCATTACTTTCTCCTCTATTCTTTCGCAATTTTTATTCTCGAATAGACACTATTCAGCAACGTTTCAACGAAAAACAAGTTAAACAAATTTTAAACAAAAGGTTTTTTCAAGAACCAGTTGTCTTATTATGAGTTTCACATTGTTGTTTACAGATGGATCTTCTAATATGTAGAAGCGGAGAGTTACTACAATGTCGATTCAATTGCAGTATAAACAAATAACCAAAGAATTATTCAAATAGAATTGATATGCAATAGATAATAAATGATAAAGACAAGTTATACATGATTACAACAAACTATTTATGTATGGAATGATCTCTTCTACTTCTTGTTTGTGCCTAAATATAGTCAAGGATATATCGACATGCAATAAAGATGATATATTTTCTTCTTAACAAACATAATCTTAATGGAGCAGATCACAGCTATAATTAAAAAAAAACAAAATACTTCACGTTAGACTTTAAAGCAAAGTGTTATTGATTCGGATAATATGTCAAGTTTCTAAAGTTTGTAAATTTCTGAAAAAAACTCGCAATAGACGTTTCCAAAACCATGTACATCTATCATAAATAAGTATTAAGACGACTTTATGTAAAAGAAACAAAAATAAATCAAAGCGAGTTGGATGATTTTGGAAAGACGGTCTGGAAAAAATAACAAAAATTCTACTTAGACCAATCCAAAAGTTGTGTCGGAGATACCTTATTTCCGAATAGTAAGCTCAAAAAAGTTTTCTTTTGTTATGAAATGATAGAGAAAACGATGCTCTATTTTTCTATGCTGTTTGATCAATCTTCAACTATTATCATAATAGTAAAATTTGGCTAAGAACTGTTTTTGTGTGAAACTTGAGCTTGTTTAAAAAAATAATGATCGTCAGCATTTTTACAATAACTCAAAAATGGAGAGTGCGAGAGAGCTGCAGTTTTCATTGTTTGAAAGAGAAGAAGAAAATGCATCGAATTCCATGTTGTCGGCTTGTTTGACCTTATTTTAATAAGATGTTCATTCGACCTCTTGAAAAACAAACCTAACTCGTGAGGTGTTTACAACGAATTTTCAATTGTCAAGTATATATTCAAATCGTCAATGGAAGATCTAAAAAGCTGTACAATGACCAGATGTTTAGAATTAATCATTTAGGAGTTAAAGGTACTCTAGTTAAGGCTTTAAGTGATTTTTGTAGCAATTTCTGTAAAAAAAAAGAAAGAATTTTTTTCCTGTTTCTTTCGGTTAAAAAAACTTTTCGGCACGTAAAAATTTGATCAAGCAAACTTCAGACAGCATACTAGAAAAACTTGTAATATACAATTCGGTACATCTTCTCTTTCAAACAATGGAAACTGTAGCTCTCTAGCTCTTTCCATTCTTGAGTTATTGCAAAAATGCTGACGATCATTATATTTCTAAACAAGCGCAAGTTTCAAACAAAAACAGTTCTTAGCAAAATTTTACTATTATGATACTAGTTGAAGATCGATCAAATAGCATAAAAAAATAGAGCATCGTTTTCTCTATCATTGTATAAAAAAGACAACTTTTTTGAGGTTATTGTTTGAAAATAAGGTATCTCCGACAGAACTTTTGGATTGACCTAAGTAATTCATGCATGTTTATATGACCTAACAAATCAAAGATCAATCTTATATACTTTTCTTTCGAAATTTTTCACTACGCATTATATTTCTATCTACGTCGGTGTCAACACATTTCTCTTATGAATCAATAGAAATTTTTTTATTTTTTCAAAAAGAAAAAATAATTTGAAGAAAGTAAAGAAAAAGATTCATTATATATTTTATTTTATGCAGCATATGAGATTTTTTTATGAGAAAAATCACATGATGCTAGATACACTGAAATGTAAAAAAAATATTGGCAATGACTTGGGTATTGTTGTCAAATCGCATGAAACCTTCTCGTAGGCTGACGAAATAAAAATGAACGCGTGAAGTGTGCTCTAAGATTAAATTGGCTTCACAACAAATAAAAACTGATTTACATACAATTCTTGCTGATTCTTATAAAAATAAATTCTATCATTCTTTTTTGTTTTATTATATGATCTGAATAAAAAAAAGAAGCAAGATTGACTTAAATTATTCTATAATAAAGAAGTTTGACGATGGCCGCACCATATTCTCATGCACATGTCGCACATATATCACGAATGGGACGTCGACGATCTCAATCTGTAACAATACCAAATACAGGTCCGCAAGACAACAATATTCGAGTGCAAAGTCTTGGACGGGTAAGCATAAATCAAATTATATTAGAAATATCTATGTTATACAGAATAATTTTAGAAAGAATTTTTGGCACAATTACAAAAGGAACGACTGAAACAACAGATAAAACATGATGAACAAGATGCAAGTCAGGACGAACAACAACATAATGAAGAAGATCATCATCAACCAACAGTTAGCCGATTAGCAAAGTCGAGTAGAACCATGTCAATGAGGAAAACGGCAACATCGTCAGCGGTAACTGTAACTAGAGTGAAGAAAGAACTGTCATCAACACCATCGAAAACTATACATGTACAAGAAGATGAGGAAGATCACCATCATCAACCAACAGTAGTAAATCGATTAGCAAACTCGAGTAGAACCATGTCAATGAGGAAAATGGCAGCATCGGCAGGGGTAACTGTAACTAAAGTGAAGAAAGAACAGTCGGCAACAGTACCGAAAACTCCACATGTACAGGAAGATGAACCAAATCATACACATCCAGTACAAGTTACTCATATACCACTATCAGAATCAACAATATTGTTTAAAGAACCTAATTCAACTACATTAGGTAAGAATTACAATGTTAATACATTCTAAACATTCAAAAATTGAAATCTTGATTTATATACAGTACGTAATGGTTCAAATGTTGAGTCATTAAAAACATCATCTACTAATTTAATACCAAAATCTAAATTGTTCGATCAAGAGTTTTTTCTCAATGATGGTAAAGATCATGCACGAAGAAATGATATAAAAGATCATGGTCATATCAGAATAAGTAAACGAGAAAAGTAGGTTATTTAATTAAATAATCATAGAATTCAGATGTGTGTTTTTTTTCCATGCAAGATACTACAACGCTGGTGATGAAGGACCATATACAACATCTAGTGCAAGTTTTATGACTGCTATTATTGGAATAATCATTGCTGTTATTGCATTTGCATTTGCGCTTACTGCATTGATACTTGTTCTACTTCTTCGATCGACAGTCGATTCTAGATTAGGTTTGAACGAATTTTCTGCTTTTTCATTTTTTTTTGGTTGATAAAAAGAATTGTTTTTTTTTTATTGCTAAGTAGTATATTTTAAAAGGATTCTTTTCTATTATAGCAACGAACTCAACAACATCGAGTTCGTCATCAGGAACTTTGCCATCTGCATGTTCCAATTATACCACTCTCGATGATCCAACTCGAAATATAGCTGCAGCAGGTTATGCACTTGGTTGCGATACAACGTCACCATTCATTAATCGAACAATGCCAGTTTGGATAAGATTTATAGGTACAGGTGGTAGTACATTACCTTTAGCAACACCTGGTATGAATCTATGCGGTTCTGAAGGTACTGGTTGGTATGATGGTACAATGCCATCATCAACAGGCGAAATTATAAATGGAACTGCATGTTTTACTTGGTATAATAGTGTATGCCGATTTTCTTCTAGTATTAGTGTAGCGAATTGTGGTTCTTTCTATATCTATAATTTACCTCCACCGCCAGCCTGTATGTTACGTTATTGCACTATTTAATTGTATTTGACATGAATGAATTATATTTGAACATTTCTTTTTTTTTCAATAAAAGTTTTGCTTGCGATTTTGATATAAAGAAATTTTGAGTTTTGTGCAGTGAATAGTCGGCCTTATATAAACGTGGTCTATTTACATTTGCTTTGAACTTCTTCAGCATTCGTTCATTAAGCTAACTTTATTAAGACTTCTTTTCTGAATCATTCGAAGAATCTATTTTCGTATTACTGTTGTATTAAGTTTTTATTTTATTCATATAATTTTCCATTTTTTTTGTCTACATGTAATTATTTCTTGTTCGTGGCTTTTTTACATGAAAAATAAAAGGCGTTGGCATCTATATAGTTTGCCTTTTTTATTATTTTGTTAAACACGAGCTTCAAGGAGGGTTGAATTGTAGAGGTGAAAATTTGAACCCTCTCACAGACGTAATAGACACAACCATAGAAGCGTCAGACCTTATATCAGTAACGACTCATTATAAAATATAAACTACTTCCTTAACGAATTTGTGAAGGATTGAATAAAAAGATTCTGGAGAAATAGATTTCAAAGCAAATTGAATAAAATAGTCTCTCTGTGATTAGCAACAGTGATTACATCATGCGAAACATTTTAATCTCGCAACGGTTGTGCTCACAACTTTTTGTAATTACAATCATTAAACTAGACAATAGACTTTTCGCGTATAAGAAAAATGAAATGTTACCATTTGCGGTGGATTACTTCCACAAAAATAATAACAAAAATATGCGTTGTATTTCAGCGCTTTACTTTTATTCACACATTTTATAATGAAACAAAGAAACAGGGAAATAAAGTAGGAGAAATAGAAAGGATAGCATATAGAAAATGTACGAACTGCTTTGCTAGGAATTTTTTCTTGATAAACTTCTCAATTCTAAATGAGTCTGACTCTATATTTGATATTCTATTTAAAGTTGTCAATAGATTTAAAAAATAAATGCTCAAGTTAGTAATATTAAAAATTGAATGATTATATTTATTAATAATAATGATTTAAGACTTTAACGTCGTTTTGGTCTTTTAGTCAATAAATGTCTTGCTTTTTGTTTTGGTTTTGAAATTATTTTGTTTGTTCTTCTCTTATGCGTTGATAATTTCAGTTTCGCCAAAAATTCCTTGGTTAGTAATGTTAGATTAAATAAATAAAAAAAGATGTATGCTCCTTTTTCTAAAACTAAAATTTTTCTTTTTATCACTAAGTATGTCAATAATCTATTTTATCAATTTATGTTAGCTCACGATCCGTGTGCGATGAAAAACGATTTCTTTGAGATGAAACACGTTTATAATTACATCATTTTACTAATTAATTAGCCAAACTTCAAAATAAGAACAAGATTTTAATATAAAACGAAACAACAGTTATTTGACAATGTCTGTTGAGAAGTAACGAATAAACTTTATCGTAGTGAACTTAGATCAACAGAAAAAAAAATCGATTTTCTTGTCACAAAGGATTTCAAGGCGACATCTCATCATTCTTGTCTCGTGTTTATATTATGTAAATTAAAAAATTATTTCATCATAACGGTTTTGACATAATTACTTTCTCTATGAACAATGAATATATACATAAAAGAAACCGTTCATAAAGCTATATTTCTGCAACATTATTCAAAAACATAAATTCTGTTGCCTACGAATGTTGGGTTCGCTGTACATAATTTTATTATAAGGGCAAGTTAACCTGAAACATGTGATTTTCTAATTTAATTTTCATTGACAGTACACAGCAGTGTACAAAAAATATCTGCATTATTGGATAAAGTAACCGTTTCTGTACAAACCTATACATATATCCGTATCACGCTAAAAACATTATCGTGAAACTTATAGTCACTATTTCGACTACTGGAATTATACCTTGTATAATTAAGAAGAACTGATACCTGGAAACAATTCTTTTGAATGAAACTAAATTCTTGCAAAAAGCTATACTCTTCATAAAGAGAACAAAGTTCTATTATTGGAAAAACTTTTCCACAAACAAACATTACTATTCTATTCATGAGAAGAATATTCTTTAGGCAGGCCAATTTCGTTAAAAGAAACCCGTTACTTCAGAAGAGTAGCTCCTTTGAAAGAAGCTTCAAAACAAATCATCTACCAAGAAAAGAACTTTCAAACAATGCCCAAAATTGAAACCAATATGTTACTATTTTCACCATAAGACACTGAGTTACTGTTCAATACATCGCTTCATACCGCAAGCACGATACGAATCAGTATACAAAAAAAAAAAGGAACGATGCAGTTATAAACATCTAGAATAGTAAATATTGCCATATGCACTATGTGTCCATAACAAATAGACAAAGAGAAAAATTGCTCTAAAAGTATGTAAACAAAGAATTAGAAAACATTACAATGTATGAGCGAATACACTATACTACACTTATTGTTCTGTTCTATGTCTTGAGAAATATGTAACAAAGCTAAAATCCAACATGACAGAGTAGTTTTTTAGAAAATTTTTTTCTAAACGATAAATATTCAATTAGATTTCTGCCTAGGCTCTGCAGCTTTGATTTATTGTTGATGTGAGTTGTCTGCTGAATCAAGGTAATTGAGTGACCAAGACAGAAATCTCGTTGAAACAGTGGCAATTTTTTTTTGTACACCGTGAATTTCAGTTTATAAAAATTCAAATACGAAATCGATGTATTGCTTAAACGAACAAAAAAATCGAGTGTAGGGTTTGATGCTACTCTTAAAACTCTCTGAGTTATGTAAAAAATACTCGAATCTCGGATGCAAACTCTTCGAGATTTTCTCAATGGAAAGGAATTGGAACGGTCCATTCTGTCCCAACGAAACAAGTTGCATCATAATACATGACCAAATAAAATACGAATAATTATTAATTAGTTTTATTTTTTACATTTTTTCTTCAGCTAAACTGAAAAGAACTTTTCTTTTGATCTGAACTTTTTAACTTTGATAAAAAATTTTTTGATTACTCTTAACCAAGGTTTCGAAAAGTGATATTTTCAAAGCCTTTATTTTTGTTCAACCTTTTGATGCAGTCTTCGAGCAGATTCGAGTACAAATACTGAAGCACAGATGAATTAGATAGTTGATAGTAAATACTCTCAAAGGTTTATATTCAATTCATGCATACATAATTTTTATGAATTTCCAGACTCTTGTTTAAACCTTCGCGAAGAAACAAATGGTTCGTATAGAAGGTCATACAGAGAATAAAAATATGAAGTTTCCTGCATCAAAATTCCGTAGTAACTTCAAGGAGTACGATCTTGAGGAGATTTTATGATTTTTTTATTTGTCTGTTAGCCGTTTTTTTGCTTTGCTGATATTTTTGATGATGTTTTTCAGTCAATTTAATAGTATATAGCAGTTGTCATGTACTTAGACTATGTGAATTACCTCCTAAACCTTCAACAGTAGAACCTTAAACAAGTTTTTGAAAATTTATAAAAAAGATCATATGCAATTCGTTGTTGAAAATATAGATCTAACATAAATTGATGCTTAATCTTCAATTTGTGAGATAAAGTGAATTAAATTCTATTGAAAACAACAAAGAAATGTCTATCTTTATCATTCTCTTTTTGTCATGAAGAAGACAAGAGCAAACATTGATTTTGTACTATAACAGTCAAAAAAAAACAAATTTTGATGAAGTAATATAGCCTTTAGTAAAATGAGGTATTCGTTTCATTTTAATTTTCATAGATTTGATTAGTTTATTAGGTTTTATTTTTTAGAATTAACAAACAAAAAATGAAAATATGAAAGTATTTGTTTATTTCAAGAGGGACAGCTAAATTAGACATAGAAAATAATGAAAGCCGTTCATCCATTGATGATACCATTTGACAAGATGTTATTGTATCTTGTATCTTACACAGTTTTCCTTTCGGACAGGAAATACTAATCCACGTACCATTATCACAAGAACAATATGCATCGATACCATGACAAATGATTTTTCCAATCGTACAAGAATAAGAAGGGATACATATTTCATTGCCATGAATAGTGCTAAGAATTGTAGAACTTGGGATTAATGAAGATAATTTAGAATCATTATTCTCAATCATATTTTTAATTTTTTCAGTTAAATCTTTTCCACTACATTTACATGTTAATTGATTTGGATTCATACTATAACATTGATTAAGTTGAATTTCATATAATTGATTATCCATACAATAGTTTTGACAAGTTTTCTTCCATTCAGGATAAAGACAATCACAAGTAATTTGACATATTATTGAAGCCAAAATAATCAAATAACGATACATTGTGAATCAAATTGATGCTTTTGAAATAACTACTAAACTATGTATTTATTCATTCAACATGTAATCTTATGTCAACAATCTCTTATTGTCCGAACATCTCGTTCATTAAGCTTCTTCTTTATTTATATGTTTGTGCATGTTTATGTAACATTTTTGTAACCGTTGATTAGAAATTTTGTCAAAAAATATAAAATTTAACTATCTCTTGTAGGTTTTGCTTCATTTTCATGGTATTTTTATTAATTGATTTTATGTTATTAGACTCATTTAAGTATAAAAATATTTAACAATTTTCAATCGATTATTAATTGAATTATTAATATGATAGGAATAGTGATAGAACAAAGGGATCTACAACAACAATGACAACAACTAAAGAATTATGGCATCTTTTTTTACATTCTTTTCATACTAAAATGAAATATGTTGCAGTCTGAATGTGCCGTAGTCTAGTAGCTAATCATTCATTCATAGCTTTGCTTTGCGTGTGTAGCTACGTAAAGCGAACTCGGTTGACCATACCAAATTTATGCATATGCGTATAGCTTCTGTTCTAGATTATTTCTCGGTTGATCATTGTTTGAGAACACGTTGAAGAATTTGATTGATGTTCAAGAATGGACTGTATTGAAGCGATCTCATTGAAACAGAACCCACTACGGTTGGAGAAATAGCATAAATGATTTCAACTGAAATGGACAAGTAGTAATTATTGAATTTTTCAGAAAAAAGGAGACTCGTGCCGAAGAGTAGATTCGAACTAAATTGTCAAACTGTGTCCCAACGAACGCTACATGTTTCACTGTAAGATATGATACGTTGCACCGCAAAGTAGAACATATTTTATGTTAGTGTACTGGACATAGTTTCGAAAAGAAAATATTTCATCTATACCATATTGTCACCTTTTTTGATTAGTGACGATATTAACATCACATAGCTCTATATTACGACAGTATTTCCGATGGCTCTAATAAGTTCCATTACATAGAGAACTCGCTTCTCCATCATTAACTACAATGCTTGCTCACTGGATACGCTTTACAAGGTATGATTTCTCTTTGGAATACGGTAACATGACTTTTTTTTCATTTGATTTTAACGATATTCAGTTTTTTCTCATATGTAAAATATGTTCCATAAATCGGCTACAGTCTATCGATCGAATAATATTATTTTTATCTATCGAATACGGTTCAAGAGAGTGAAAATCTCTTAGCAATATGACAACATCACACTTAGAATTTTACGATGGCACCAACATCAATGTTTTCAACTTCACCAAAGCATCTTCGACGAATTGTATTAGACTTGTCAGATGTAACATTGAAGTCTCTGTCGAATGTTATTGCCTGTATTCACTTGGCATTATTGGAAAGCAAGAAAATCTCCCATCAAGATTATAAGATCACAGATTTGATGAATGATGAGAACAACATCGATTGTTTTCATATTACACAACTATGATTGGCAAATCATATAAAATAAGCTAGATGCAAATTTGAACTCTCTATCAAATTATTGTCTTAGTATTTATCGAACATAATATTGAGAAGAGAAAATTTTTCATAAGTTCTATACCATAAACTGTTTCAATATATAATAATACCAACATCGGTTTTGTCGACACTAAATAAATATCATATTTCGGCGACGTACGAATAGACAGTGTTGACATCGTTATTACTCAAAAACTGCTATCTTACCACACTAATAAGATATATTCTTGCCTCTGCAAATGGTACTATTCGATCGAGAACTGAATTTAGCATTTGATGAGTATATTTAGATCAGCTAGACAAAGTATACTGGTAGTTACGGCATTAGTGAGATATTTTCTCTTTTTCTTCACTATCTCCTATGGATAAGAATAACATGTATCGGTAGACCGTCAAACATTACATCCTTCAAATCACATCCTATGTACTGAAGACACTTTGGCGGTACGCCTCAATCGATCGTTGATACTTTCGCCCATCAAAAATTGTGATGTTATTGTATTCAGCAGAGTTTTCTTTTTTTTTTGTAGTACATTTGGTCTATATAAATAGTACTACTCGATGTAGAACCTAATGCTGCATATAATGAACATGATCCAATTCACCGGACATATTTGAATTACATGGAAATAGTTGATATTACTGCTATAAATCTATATTTCGACCTGTTGCTATTTAGGTTTATTTTTTAAAGTTGACTTCAATCGTATTCGACCATGGTAACTAAGGAAAATGTATTGGTATTTTATGGATCGATGGCGGTATTCTGTTCTTTCTTTCGTATTGGTGTAAACCAGGTCTAATCTGGTTGCTCATTTTCGTGATAGCTTCTACAAATCGATGAGTCTAAACCATTTCCTGAAACAACATGTAAAGCTCGTATTTCAAAATCTTTGACAACGTAAAGAGAAATATCCAATCATTATTATCTGTTTCTGAACTTCCATCAAGTAAGTTTTTCTTTGTTTATATTCTTTTAACAAACTATTTTCTTTTAAAACAAGTTCTTACAATAATGTCCTTTCAACCAGCTATACGAGCACGTATTCCTTTTAATCTTTCATCAAGCAATACTGTTGATAAACAAACACATGCATATACACTATGGCTGAATACTTTATTTACACCCGTAGAATTTATAAGTAATATCACATTGAATCAATCTGTGTCTAATGAAGAAACAACAACAACAACAAAAACATCATTTAAATCGTTAGCTAAATTAAATCGTTGGTATACATTACGTGATCATGCTCGAGAAATTTTTGCACGTGATATTCAAAATATAGCTACAAAAATCAGTGCAGATATTGATATTAATTATTGTCGAATAAATCCTAATTCTGATTTAAATTTTTCTGCAAGAAACGTTAATCGACAAGCATTATTAAATTTTATATCATCATATAATCGAATATGGTTTCGTTTAGCAATGGAAGTTCTTTTTTCAATAAATATTGAAAATTATCAACAAATGAAATCATCCATTGATCAATATCTTATTCAATCAAATAATAATACATCATCATTAACATTAAATGATATAAATTTAAAAAAAACAATTTTTCTTAATAATAAAATTGCTTCAGTACAAATTCGTTCAACAATTAAAAATTTAATAATAATTATTATTTTTCTTGAACATGCAAAATTATTACGTTTGATTGATAATGATCCATGTTTATATAATTATGATTCAAAATTTAAATCAACAAAAGAATCTATTGATATTTTATCACGTGATTTTATTAGTTCAGATACAAATCTTTTACGTCGTCTTAAATTAGCTGGATATGAACCAATATATAGACAAACATCACTTGATGAATTTAATTATTTACTAACAAATAATGAAAATAAATTATTTGAAGATTTAAAAGATGGTATTCGTTTAACACGTTGCGCGCAAATATTATTATCATCAACAAATGAATATGTTGCAAGATATGATTTATCTACGAAATTAAAATGTCCAGTTGTTAATCTTGTTCATAAATTACTTAATATTGATCAAGCTTTTGAATTACTTCAAACATATGGACATGTTAATTTAACTGGAATGTACGTTCAAAGAAAATAAGTTTTTTAAAGAAACTTTTGTTGTAGCTCAATCTGTAACAGAATTGAAACATGGGTAGATTTTCGTGATAGTGAGATAAAGATGTTATTTATTGTATAAAATGAGAATTACATATTTTCTTAAGATCTACCTTCTCAAAAATCGATCTCAGCTCAGAATTGTTCAAATGTCATGAAACTTTCAGGATATGTTGGGGGACATTTCATGAGAAAGTGATTAAAACAATAAATCTTGTTTTTTTTTACTGCTTATATTTCATCAAACAACTTTATTTTTTTTTGTAGTTCCAATAAAGATATTATGAATGGTACCAAACAATGTACGCTTGAATTACTTTGGCGTATATTTATTGTTTGTTATTTATCTAAACAATTATCACCCATAGAAAAATTACATCAAGAAATTTCAATTCTTAAAAAAAATTTATCAAACTATGCATCTTGTTCTATTGAACAACAACTTATTCAAATTGATCTTATTCCCTTACAAAAACAACATACTAATTTTCCATCAACTATTCATTTATTAATTAAATGGGTACAATTAATTTGTGCATATTATAAATTTTGGATATATGATTTACAAGAATCATTTGCTGATGGTCGTGCATTATTATATATTATTTCATATTATTTACCATCTTTATGTGATTATAAACGTGATATAAAACATTTAACAACATTAGCAACATGTCAAACACGCAATGAACATATAAAATTTAATCTTGAACTTGGACAACAAAAGTTAATAAATATATATGAACGAAATGTTAAATCAAATTTTCGTTTATTAGAAGAATGTATCAAACAATTTGGTACATTTTCACCTGATTTTATCAAATATGAATATTATGCAAAAGATATACCTGATGAAAGATGTACAATTATTATTTTAGCAATGCTTGCATATGATTTAATTTTTTCGAATAATAATAATAATAATAATAATGAAAATGAACGTGATTTTCGTCATCAACAAATATTTAAAGAATTAAGAGAAAAATATTTAAATGATAATGAATTAATAATTAAAATAAAAGATGAAGAGATAATTAATAATAAATTATTAAATCAACAAGATATTGAAATCAATCAAGACAATTCAATTAATTCTTCAGAAAATTCTATATTAACTAATAGTCTGATTGAAGAAAAATTAATATTTGAAGAAGAAGAAAATAAAGAAAACATAACAAATTTACCATTAAGATTACTTTCACAATCAATTTTAAATACAATGAATTATGATATTCTGGATCGTATTGAATTATTATCGGCATTGGATCATAGTGATGATAATAATGATGAAGAAGATTCATTTAGTTCAACAACAAAAATAGATCATCAACGAATATCATTTGCAGCAACAATATCATTAAATGATTTTATTGCATTAGAAAAAACAATTGAAAATGAAGAAAATAAAAACCCTACTAATAGTACATCTTGGTTTCTTATTGATGAAACTAGTTCATTTGAGATTGATAGTATTGAATTAAATAAATTAGATGAAGTAAGTGTAAATCAAAGAAAATATTTTATAAATTTTCCTGTTTCCGATAGATACTATTGGTTGATCCAGTTAATAAAAAAATGATTAAAGAAATATTTATATCGTTTTTATCTCGTCAACAAAAAACATTTATAAATGATGCATCAATTCATCATGATACTCAATCTATTGGACAGATATTGAATGAAAAACAATCAGAAAGAGAACGTGAAATAAATGCTGCACAAATTTTTCAAGTAAATTATTAGATATCATAAGTTTTTGATATTGTTTCGATTTCGATCTGCTATAGCTTATCTATGACTCTTTCGACGTTATATAAATTCATTTTTTTTAGTGATATTTGAAACTAAAGAACGATCGAAAGCTTTTTAGATAAGATATTTGTTTATTTTTGATATGCTAGGACGAAAATCTCGGGCACAAAAAAAATAGTCCCAATTTCGCGTTTCGTAGTACATATACTAAGGAAAAACACCCCATCATTGTCTAGCAAGAACAATGAGTTCGAGACATATTGCGTGGTGTCTAACATATTTACTCTTGGAAATTCATTGGTTTTTTTAATTCATTAATACTTCATCTAATATGCACATTGATGTGCTCGATAACTCCTGTTGTTTATAAAATAAAAGCATTAATTTTACTTTTAAAATTATAGTAGCAAATATTCAAGTGATCGTAACTCAATAATTTTGATATACACTTTTAAAACACATGAGTCGCAAGAAAACGACATTTGACGCAATTTTACAACACGTAAAAGATATCACTTTTGATGAAATGGTGTTGTTGATCTAGGGCTCACATCAGTCTGTTCGATATAAAGTAGCGCAATAATCTTTGAAAAGTCCAAAAAATTACTTTGAACGGAACTCGTGGATTGACATTTCTGGGAAGCATGCTAACTCATTTTTGCCTACTTAAAAGATTTTCAGACGAACTAAAAAACCATAGGTGACAACCAGAATTTAAATATGGATTTATAAATGTTGTACCTAGTTTAATGCAACAGTTGTGAGGGACTTCTTTGACAGACCAAAAAAATTATTAGTAATGATGAGCCAAAAAGATTTTCTTTACCCTATAGGTCTTTGTTCGAACATGCTAAAAATTGTCGGAGTCGATCGTTTTGTATAACGGACACTTTTCTACAAAATTTAGTATTGAATTAAGCTGTAGTTATTATTCAAACATTTCTTTAATAGCTCCTTGAACTAGAAAGTGATTGTTGATTTTCAAAAATTAAGTATTTAGGAAAAACGAAATTTTAGCTGCCTTGTTGAAACACAAAGAAGAACTTCGAATAGTGAATTTAGTATGGTGGCTTTTGATCGACAAGCTAATATGTAAATAAAATCTTTAGTTTCGGTTGGGACACCTTTTTTTCGTGTAGTCGCACACGTCTCTACTCCTTAACAATTGTTTACGACTTACAATGTTTTATCCTTGATATTGCTGTTCTAGAGTGCTATAAGCTAACACACACTCAATTTAAAATGATATTTGACATAGAAAAGTTTCCTCTTGTGTAAAATTTTCAAAATAGATTTTCTATTATGTATATTCTATGAAAAAGGAACATTGAGTACTCGTAGTTCGTTATACACTAATATTCTTTTTAGGCACATTGGCGTGGACATCGAATTCGTGTTGACAATGAACGTAATAACCATCCTATTGTTAATATTCTTAAAAAACTTCGTTCGTATAATTCAAAAAATAATTCATCATTAACATTACGTGAACGCATGATAAAAATTGTTCAAGAATATTGTGAATTATCAGCATCATCTCTTACTAGTTATTTACATTTTATACGTGATATAGAACCAATTATCAATTCGTGTCTAGAAATACGTTATTTAATAGCTGAGCAAGGTTTATTACGTTTATTTTTTCTTTTAATAAGATGCTGTAATCGAATAGAACCAATAACTGTTTTACATCGTAAAATTTTAATTATTTTACAATTATTTACTGTTAAACACAATCTTATTGTAAAATTAATTGATAAGTCAGAACAAATAAAAGATTTTATTATGCTTTTATTAAAATATTATCAAAAAAATGATTGTGAATTATTTGAAGAAATTTGTTTTTTACTTCAAACTATTGTAAATAATGAACATGCTCGAAAAATATTGCGATCAAATAAATCATTTACTGAAACTATTCAATATATTTATAAACGTTTATTTAATAAAACATTAGTTAAAGATGCCAAATATCGACAACAAGTACGATCAACACCAAAATCATCACATGAATCAATAAAACGTCGTGTAACTGTATTAAATCAATCATCCATTCTTTATCCGACTCCGAAAATAATGCATCGATCAATTGGGATGAAAAACGAAAAGATTTTAAAACGAAATCTTATTTCAATTGAGCAATTTATGAAAGTTTTTTATTGTAATTGATTCTTAATGTATATGTCGTATCGAAGTTACACCGGTGGACGAAGTTATAACTTCGTCGTCTCATACTGACGAAGTTACAACTTCGTTGTATAAATGTGACGAAGTTGTAACTTCGACGATGATCGTCATCGAAGTTACAATTTCAACACAAATTTGTCGAAGATAATTTTGATTCATTTATCGATAAATAATTTACTTCATAGAATATCGTACTGCTGAATATATAATCAAAAATAATTTTTATTAAAAATAAATATTCATTTATTTAAGAGTATTCTTAAATAAATGAATATTTATTTAAAAAAAAACTATTTTTGATTATATACTCAGTAGTAGGATATTCTATGAAGTACATTATTTATTGATAAATGAATCAAAATTTAACTTCGACAAATTTGTGTGTCGAAGTTGTAACTTCGTCGACCGGTGTAACTTCGATACGACGTATATATTGTATAGAATGATCGCTTCTTCTTCTTGTTTGTGTTTGAATAGAAATAAAATAAATATACATCTTAATATTTCATAAAAACGATATATTTTTCTTCAAATAGAAATAATCTCAACGGATTAGACCAGATGTTTAATTAATAGAAAACAATATTTCACATTGAATCTTAAGGCAAAGGGATATAAATTTAACTTTCTCACATCATTAAAGTTGGTAAATATATAGATAAAACTCACAATAGATATTTCCAATCGAATATACTTTGCGGACCATAAATAAAATTACGATGAATTATTTGAAAATTCTCTGCCGCCGTTTGCTCAAATAGTTTGATTGTTTTATCAGTCATACTCATGTCGCACGTTTGTTAACACTACCAACATTCGAGAGAAGAACAAAGTCGCAGAATATTATTTAATAATGCAAATTTTTGCAGAGTCATCTATAATAAAACTCACCTTCTAATGGAGGTTAATTTGGGTTCTGCACGTAGCACAGGTCGCTCAGACGCATCAATATAGCCAGGGTATATCGCAACTAATTGACGCCACTTTTTGCAGACTTCAATAATATTCCCTTGTTTTGATACAATACACTACGATGTAACATTTCTGAAAAAGACTTCCGACATAGTGCTCATTATACTGGTTGGTATACCAATGGTAGTTTCTCAATAGTTATCACATGAACAGAAGGGCGGGTTCGGAATACGAACCTGTCATACGTGTACACCCGTCCACACCAGTGGTGGACTCAAGGGCCCAGAGAAATCTCAGTCCTCCTCCTGTTAGAGAGATTTCTGAAAGATGCGTTCTTTTTTTGAAAAGTCCCATCAGTGAGCTTGATGATCTATAGAGAGGACTGAGCTCTACCCTCACCTAAAATCCTGATTCGGCCACTGACTCACACCCTTGTAGTTTCGACCCAACAAAATTAGGACTCAACTAGAAATAAATTCATAGAATCACGTATTTTACTAAAAGCAAAGCGGAAGGAAAGAAAAGAAAAAATCTTGATCATAGGAGTTCTGTCGATAAGCAGTATAAATACAGAACCACGCGTTATGATCTAATAAAAAGATGTCTGCATAGAAATCCACAAGCGTCCAAATTGATAATGTGGGACGACTTTATTAAAAAGAATTAAAAGAACATATTGGTTTCCTACGTGACAATCTTCGAAAAAAACATGTTATAACACAAAGTTCATGTGAAAAAAAAATGGAAGCTTTTTATTCGGTGAAATATCATTCCAAGAGACATGATTGTTCATTTATAGGTGAATAGACTGAAGTACGTTGACTTGTAGTGTTTACGGAATGAAAAAGAAATTCGTTGAATAAAATATTCATTGTATTCAGATGTTATCTCTAGTCGAGTTCTAATTTGGACTGAACAAAATTAGTATTTCAACTTTGCCTTGACTAATTTAGAGTCTGACCAAATTACAATTTTGCCTCCAATAAACACACGCCAATCGTTTCATAGATAATTTTCAGCTTTATTCTCTTCGATAAAAGCTGAAAATTATCTATGAAATACTGTCGATGTATTTTTCTTACAGAACACTAGTATTTGTTTATATGATCTACACAAAAAAAAAAGAATTAAAATAAGCTTCTTTGATCTACAAAAGAATCAATCCATCGAAATGAATCGAAGCGACGATATTTGAATTTTTTCTCATAGTGTTTTTGTGGTCCATTTTGTGTACTTATCATAAATGAATATCGAGATGACTGTATATAAAAAAATCAAACATAATCAAAGTGAATTTCATCATATATGGCAGGTGATCATGAAAAAAACGCAAACTTTCATCAGTATATGTTTGTTTGACCTGAAGAAATTCGAAGGTCATACTTTTGAAACTAATCAACACACCCTTATATGTGTATCTGCATTGATTTCATATAATCAAATTTATAGATGAAAACAAAGCATACTCATTTCTCTCATCAATAAAAAGATTTTTATCGTTTTTTCAACAAGAAAAAAAAAATAATTTAAAAAACATAATAAAAAAAATTGATTATATATTCCATTATATGCAGCTCATGAAGTTTTTTAATCAACAAAATCGCATGATGATGTACATACCAAAATATAAAAAAACATTCAAGATTACCAGGGTATTGTTGTCGAAAAGCATGAAACCTCCTCTTAGATCGACGAAAAATGAATGTGTGTAGTTTGCTCTAGAATTAAATTGGCTTCACAACAAATAAAAACTGATTTACATACAATTCTTGCTGATTCTTATAAAAAAAAACTCTATCATTCTTTTTTGTTTTATTTTATAATCTGAATAAAAAAAATCAGAAGTAAGATTGAATTGAATCAATTTGTACAAAATAAGCTTGACGATGGCTACACCATTACCTACTGTCCATGTTACACATACAGCACGAATGAGACGTCGACGATCTCAATCTGTAACAATACCAAATACAGGTCCACAAGACAACAATATTCGAGTGCAAAGTCTTGGACGGGTAAGCATAAATCAAATTATATTAGAAATATCTATGTTATACAGAATAATTTTAGAAAGAATTTGTGGCACAATTACAAAAAGAACGACTGAAACAACAGATGAAACACGATGAACAAGATGAAGGTCAAGACGAACAACAACATAATGAAGAAGATCGTCATCAACCAACAGTTAGTCGATTAGCAAAGTCGAGTAGAACCATGTCAATGAGGAAAATGGCAACATCAGCAGGCGTAACGGTAACTACTGTGAAGAAAGAACTACCATCGACAGCATCGAAAACTACTCATGCACAAGAAGATGAACAAAATCATACGCATCAAGTGCAAGTTACTCATGTACCACGATTAGGATCCACAAGGTCAATTAAAAGACCTAATCCAATTACATTAGGTAAGGGTTCCGATGTTAATTCATTAAAAACATTCAAAAATTGAAATCTTAATTCACCAATAGAAAGTAATGGTTCATACCTTGAGTCATCACAAACATTGTCGAATCCTATGACAGCATCATCCATTCCTTTAATAACATCATCTAGCAATTACATGACAAAATCTGAAATATTCGATCAAGAATTTTCTCTCAATGACGGAAAAGATCGTACAAGAAGAAATGATCTTAAAAGTCAAAGTAGTATCAGATTAGATGAACAAGAAAGGTAGGCTATTTATATTAAATAATTCTTGAATTCACATGTTCGTTTTTTTTTTCATGCAAGAAATCCCAATGTTTCTTGTACACGACCATATGCAAGTTCTAGTGCACATTTTTTGACTTCCGTTGTTGCAATAATGATTGGCTGTATTGCATTTGCATTTAGTCTTACTGCATTGGTACTTGTTCTACTTCTTCGGTCGACAGTCGATTCTAAATTAGGTTTGAAAGAACTTTTTGCTTTCTCATTTATAATTTTCTTCTTTTTTTTGATAAAAAGAATTTTTTTTTTTTTTTTATTGCTAAGTAGCATATTTTAAAAGGATTCTTTTCTATAATAGCAACAAACTCAACAACATCAAGTTCGTCATCAGGAACTTTGCCATCTGCATGTTCCAATTATACCACTCTCGATGATCCAACTCGAAATGTAGCTGCAGCAGGTTATGCACTTGGTTGCGATACAACGTCACCATTCATTAATCGAACAATGCCAGTTTGGATAAGATTTATAGGTACAGGTGGTAGTACATTACCTTTAGCAACACCTGGTATGAATCTATGCGGTTCTGAAGGTACTGGTTGGTATGATGGTACAATGCCATCATCAACAGGCGAAATTATAAATGGAACTGCATGTTTTACTTGGTATTATAGTGTATGCCGATTTTCTTCTAGTATTAGTGTAGCGAATTGTGGTTCTTTCTATATCTATAATTTACCTCCACCGCCAGCCTGTATGTTACGTTATTGCACTATTTAATTGTATTTGACATGAATGAATTATATTTGAACATTTCTTTTTTTTTTCAATAAAAGTTTTGCTTGCGATTTTGATAAAAAAGATTATTAAGTTCTTTCGAATGAATAACGGGTGAGATGCAAAAGTTCGTGTATAAATGTCAATTCATTTTTCATCGGATACAACGCGTGTGAACAAACTCGAAAATAGTTATACAGAATTGACACCGAAAGCTTCTTTTAACTGTATATTCAGACAAGTTATATTATGTCTCGTCTTCTTGGAAGAAGCACGTCTTTCAACAGCACTAAAATGTAGGCTGTTGAAGGAAACGAATATTGCAGTAGGTACTGTTCCTGCGGTATTTAGCGATTTCTTTCGGTTCATTTCATAGATTGATGTTAATCTTTTCTCTATTAGATTGCCGTCTCTATTCTCGAGAAATCATGCAGTAAAGCTGAGAAAACTCACTCTCGAGTGTCTAGCTATTTTTGAATTGATGTTCGTATTGCTTTGTTCACTGTTCAATTTTATCATTTCCATTCATTGACTCAGGTATATTCATAAAGCGAGTATTTTGAGCCATTGGCAGTTATCATTTAAACTGGTTTTGCTTAAAAAATGGCACCATTAAAATCTCGAAAAACTTTTATT